TAGTAGTGTCTTTCACGTTGCAGTGCTCGGCCATGAAGATCAGCAGCCACCAAGACGTGTGTCTGTCTGTCTGCCAACTCACTTTACATTCAACTTATACTTGATTCAAAATAACGATAAAGCAGGCAAAGTAAGGAATATGCTAGACAATTAAAAATCCTATATACTGAGTTTGGAAAAGGCATTCTATAGTCAAATAAAAGTTTCTGTTGACCAAGTAATCATAAACTGCACTACATCCAGTCGAAACCCATAAGAGAGCTCCAAAGTAGTGCCTAACGAGGGTATATATGTGTGTGTATACATATAAATATATATATAGAGAGAGAGAAAAGTAAAAGAGAGAGAGAGAGAAATACAGAGAGTGTGTGTGAGTGAGGGTAAGAAAGAGATAAAGAAAGATAGAGAAAAGAGAGAGTGAGAGAGAAAAAGGGGTGGATATATACATATGTGTGTGTGATATTTATGCAAGAAATTGCCCACAAGGCGACCTATAAACTCAAAGACATATGCAGCAAAGGTACCAAACGAGTCTCAGGCATCTTACCTTGACTGACCGCGAGCTTGCAGACTTAACCCCGAAGTGCGCGGTTTTTGGGGATGTAGACTACGTCCTGCCAGCGCCCCCGGAACTTCCACAGACTCTCGTCGACCGACACCCTCCGGCAAGGAGTGTAGACCGACGGGAACTAACGAGACAACAGGTAGATCACTGGACGATGCTTGGGCTTCGAATACAGCGACATGAGAAGCAACGATGCAAACAGTGCGTCAACTTCAGCCGTTGCTCCTCATAGGAGGTGAAGGGCTCCTTGGGCATCGCAGGCTGTACCTGAAAACAGAAGAAAGGTTATACAGTATTGCTTTAGATGAAGGAAACTATGTATACATATAGAAAAATATGCAAGTATACACAAAAGAGGCAAACACAAGAAAATTCCTTACCAGTTTGTGCTCCGAACAGGGGCGTCGAGAAGCTCGCCTGTGATGAAGCAGCGATAGATCTCCGCGGGCGAGGAGGAGGCGTCCAGGCACGGAACGTTGACCCCAGAACGCCCCTTCGAAATCTTTCCGCCGCGGAGAAGTATCCTGCTTTCGCCACTTGAACTTACCGGTGCTAAGGGCTTTCCGTTGCCATCACCTCTGGGCGACGACAGACAGTGGCTCGTCCTAGTCAAGACTCGTATCGAGCTCTGATACCAAATCTACCTCGGAACCAGAGCCACTCTCACCTTCCCCCATCCTCCTCCATGACCCGATGGAAGACGGCGGAGGATGGTGGAGGACAGTGGAAGACGATGGAGGACGGGTGTGGACGTCTTTACGCGTCCACCGGAACCGTCCTTCAACGGTCTTCCACCGACCGGACTGTCTTCCACCGGGGGGACCGGACCGGCGTCCCTCCGTCTTCCACATCTTCCACCGTCCTCCACCATCCTCCGCCGTTTTCCACGTCTTCCATCGTTCCACCGTCTTCTTCCGTCCGTCCGTCTCTACCGTCCTCCGCCGTCTTCCATCGTCTTCCAGAGTACTATACTATCCACCGTCTTACCGTCTCCCACCCCCAAACACCCTCAGAATATTTTGGCATTTCTTTCTCACAAATATCGAAATTTGCAACATCAAAAGCCGTTCATAAGAACAAATAATGATCTTGACAACATTATTTTTATGCGAAACCGTCTGCAGTTCGACACCTGAATTACAGTTTTGCTTCCCCAGCAATGTCACTCCCAAGGTCATTCATTATTTGTTATGATAGGTTTTTAATAATGTGATCAAATTTGATCTCACTTAGGAATTACAATGTTGCTGATTTCGACTTTGACACGGGAAACCTTCTAAAATAACGTTTTGAGGGTGATTTGCGGTGGAGGACAGTGGATGACAATGTTCAAATGTTTGTTTTCACTCTGTGTTCTAGAGTTCGTGACCTTTCTTTTTTATCCAAATGAATAAAAAAAAAAATGTGATATGTTTACGAAACGTTTTCTTTTTACATTTCTCTTTTGAACAAATATTTCAGAGAATTTCGATATATCTGCCTATTTTTTCTTTTAAACAAATATTTCGATATATCTGCCTACCAGTTTTACTTTGTCTGGAAATATTTGAATACACTCGTGGATAAACATAACTATGAAATTACACGGAGAAAAGGTTTTGTAAACTCTCGAGCAGAATTCCTCAATCAAGACAAAATGCATGCTTACTTTGATCTGGGTGTCGTTTGTCACGAAGGTAGTTTTTGCATGTTTGTGTATACGCGCACACACACACACACACACACACACACACACACACACACACACACACACACACACACAACACACATATATATATATATATATATATATATATATATATATATATATATAATATATATATATATATATATATATATATATATATATATATATAGTGTGTGTTGTGTGTGTGTGTGTCTGTGTGTGTGTGTGTGTGTGTGTGTGTGTGTGTGTGTGTGTGTGTGTGTGTGTGT